CCTCGCCTCCACTTCAGACTGGTCGCACGCGCCTAACGGGAGAGCGGGAATCCCCTTGACATCGTTCCCTGGGAACAGGTAATCAGCCCAATTCTTGTGGCTGATCCCCGGGGTCTTCTTCTTCTTCCCCTTGTGATTCGAGGCCCCTAGGGTACTGAGGCATATGTGGTAGTGGCAGAGTAACTCCCACAGAGTTTCAACCGCCAAAGGGGAATGGCTCGACAGCTGATCAATCTCATCTTGATCGGGGACGTACTCCTCGTAAGGAAAGTCTCCCAGAGGCAGCCCCGACACGTCGTACATCTCGTGAGGGGTGATACCAAGCTCACCATTGGGGGTGAAAAACGTGCCGCTTTCCGCGCAATACAGTTCCAAGATACTATGGAACTGAGAAGCGTTGATCCGCAGGCCGTGTCGAGTGGCTTCGATGGCCACATACAGCTCTGTGCCCTTGAGATCAGCATTTTCGGCCAGAACATAGTCGGTGATCTTGGACCACCACGTGTCGCTGCCGGGTGCAGAATAGACCCACCCCGGGGCCCTAAAGTCCTTAGGGGGAAAGCTTCCACCAGCTCGAAAGAAGCGGTGACGGAAGGTCTCCGCCACCGCTGTCGACTCCCCCACGGGCGGTTCAGTGAACATTAAGCCAGGGCAGCAACTCATCATACTGAGGGGAATAGTATGGCTAGCCCGATTCAAACGGTGATCGGTAAAGGCACATCAAACCCGTTGATAGCTGAGGATTTGCTAAAAATCCTAAAAGAAATCAAGTGCGCTTACTTCGCCTAAAATTTCTTCATTCAAAGTATTCCAGACCACACGCAAGCTGGTTTAGGTCTGAAAACTTTGAAGGGGGTCTTGTAGACGGTAAAAAATACCTCTATGGGTCTACAGGAAATTTGTCTACGAGAAGAGTTCGCACGCCCAGTTCTCTGGCGCGGACCTAAACCGCGTAGACGTCGACTGTACTCAAGTCCAGGTTCGCCTAACGGTCGACTCGCCAGCACGAGTTAGGGTCGATCAGGATGGCGGAAATTCGCTCTTCGCTCAACTCGCCTGCCCGAGTTCGGAGTCGAATCCGCCAGCAAGCCCCAAAACCGTCAGTACAGCTGGGTATCCACTACCCCACGTGCTGAGATGGGCCTTCCCATCTCTCTCGAGCCGAAGGAAGAGAGCACGATACCCCAGGACCGTCAAACGGCCGCTCGCAGTACGCGCAGCACGAAAGCCTGGACAGGTGTCGAGTCAACCTGAGCATTCATAAATGCGACTCACCTCGGATGTCTGAGCCAAGAGCTGGATCCGCCGGCACTCGGCAAGCTGGCTAGACCCACTCGAGTACTGTACACCTACTTCACCGCCTCTCCTGACCGGAAAGGAGAAAGCACCGTGCTCAAAGCACGCCGGGCGGTCACGCACAGTACAAGTAATCGGACAGACACTTCATCGATCTGCGAACTCATAAATGCGGTTCATTAATGCTGGTCAAATCCACTCGGATAGCAGTCGTTCATTGCCTCACACACAAGATGGGCCTTCCCATCGTAGGTGACAGGACATAGAGCACAATCCCTGGAATGACCATTCATGGTATCGAGGAACGGCGAGACGTCTCTGAAGAGGATGTGGTCACATCCCACAATTCAAGGAGAAGTCGAGCTGTCCTTCTTTCATTTAAAAGCCCATTCCAGCACGATGGAAGAGAGGTCACAAAACTTGGAGAAAAAAAGAGTTGAGACCAAGCTGTTAGCAAATCCTTGCATTACAGCACTGCTGCCTAGTTCCGAGCTCCGATCGCCGACGAACTAAGCAGACCCGAACTCCATTACCCCGAGCTTCTACTGCGAACTGAAGCTCTCCAGCAACCTCATTCAAACGGTCCAAGGGAAGCAGACTCGACCCGAGCATCGAGCGAAGCGTCCTATAGCCACCTAAAGTCCCCACACAAAACAAAGAGGGCCTTCCCTCTGCTTCTGTTGTAAACATTTGATTTGTTAGTTTGTAATAAGCTTTCTTATAAATACAAACGAAACTCCTTTCTTCGGAAGAATCAAATTTTCACCCTACACACCTCTGGCACTTTTAACTTTCTTTCAGTGTTTCAAGCGAAAATATAACACAGAAAGAAACAGTGACAAAGTCTACGTATTCAATATCGTAGCCAGTGATTATCATTAAACTAATAATCTCTGAATTCATACCTCGCATGTATGGGGAACTTTATCCCGAATCCTAAGTAGGTATAAGTCAACGCCTAATACGCGTTACCGGTTAGTCTTTGACCGTGAAAAGGACAAAAATCCACGTATTCAACATCGTGGTAGGTCGTTATTAATAACGCCAAAATCCATGTCTTACACGCATGTGAGACTTTATCTTGATCCCTAAATAGAGATAAGTCTGCACCTCACACATGCTGCTGGGTGGTCCATTCCCGCAAAAATGACCAAGTCTGCGTATTCAACATCGTAGCACCAACAATCCATGTCTTTCATGCATGAGGGGACTTTATCTTGATCCCTAAATAGAGATAAATCTGCATCTAACACGTGCTGCCGGGTAGTGCATTCCCGTAAAAATAGCAAAGCCTACGTATTCAATATCGTAGCAGGTTGTTATTGATAACACCAAAATCCATACCTTACACGCATGGGGGACTTTATCTTGATCCCTAATTAGAGATAAGTCTATGCCTAACACGCGTTGTCGGTTAGTCTTTTTCCGTAAAAATGATAAAGTCTATGTATTCAAAATTATAGCATCAAGTCTAAGAGGGTTCATTCTCTTATCACAACGTTACATGTGAAACGGATCCAAATAATTCACATGCTAGCCCGACTCAAACAGTAGTCCGTAAAGGCTTATCAAATCCGTTGATGGTTGAGGGTTTGCAAAAAATCCTATGCATGTTTGGAGATCCATCAGCTTAAAAGATGTGAGCCGAAATTTGAAACAGATAAGCTAAAGACAAGTCTTAAAGACTTAGTTAAAAATACATGAAAGCCACCTCCGCATCTCAAGTCAAAACGCCAAGGTCAGACCTACGTTGCACAAACTACAACGCTGAGGTCACACCCGGGTTACAAATTTAAAACGCAAGGGTGAGACCCACGTCTCAAGTTTGAAACGTATGGGTTCACCCCCACATTCCAGAAGTAGGATTATTACGCATACCTTCATACGGGTCCTACGTGGCAAATCCCTTCAACCAAGATGCCTTCAAAGCGAGTGCAGAGAACAACTCCTTTACGACAAGGAATCAACAGCTCCAAGATCAGAGTCGAGATCCAAAGTATTCTGAAAATTCGTCCCAGTCAACTGTGAACTTTTAAAAACTTTGGAGGGGGTCTGTAGGCTGTCTAAAAATCATAATAGATAGCTGATCCCCCCATCAAACACCGATGATGGAAGTTACAATCTGACGACTTCCAGAAGGCTATAATTTAAAGACTTTCACGTAGATCAATGAAGGTTACAATCTGACGACCTTCGTAACAGCTGATGAAAGTTCTAATCAAATAGTCTTCACAATCAACATCGGGAGTTACAATCGATGACTCTCATATTTTTAAGGAGCCAAGACGAAGATTACAAGATGACGGTCTTTGCAACGCTCTAGCAAAAGAGACTATAAATTGACGGTCTCTTCAAATCCAGACGCAGAGCTCACCTATGCGTCCCAGATTCAAAGTGCATAGCTCGTGGTTGTGTTCCCAGAACGAAACGCATAGGTCCTCCCTGCGTTGCCACACCAAAACGCGGAGGTCCTCCCCATGTGTCAGCAATAAAACACAGGGGTCGAACCTACGTTGCAACATCAAAACGCAGGGGTCGAACCCGCATTGCAATATCAAAATG